TAAGGTCTCTAATCTTGAAGTGATCACTTAATTCCGTCCTATTGGTCTTTGCAACACTATGTATAAGCTCATCACTAAAATTCTTGTTGCTAGGCTTAGGCATCTGCTAGATGATCTCATCAATCCGTTACAAACCAGCTTTATCTAGGGTAAAAGAGGCATTGATAATGTCATCATTGTGCAAGAAGTGGTGCATAGTTTTAAGGAGAAAAATAGCAAGAAAGGGAATATGTTGATCAAACATGATTTCAATAAAGCCTATGATAGGTTAGAATGGAGTTTTCATTCATACCATGCTTAGGTCCTTTAATTTCCTGCTTGTTAAGGTTGACCTCATCATGTCTTGTGTGACCTCTAGTTCTTTACACTGAGGAGTTCACTCCCTCTAAGGGAATCAAGCAAGGCGATCCTATTTCTCCTTACATCTTCATTCTTTGCTTAGAGTACCAGTCTTCTAGGATCTCTGAATATTGTAATAATAATAGCTGGACTACTATTAGCATTTCGAGAACTGGTCCATTGTTGTCTCATCTATTTTTTGCAAATGATCTTATCTTTTTTGGGGAAGCCATAAAGGCCAATTGGCATAGTATCTCTATCATTCTTCAAGATTTATGCACGTTGTCTAGGCCAAAAATCATTTTTGGTAAATCCAAATTTCTTTTCTCCTCGAATGTTCAAGATAATACTCAACAACAACTTGCATGTATTTTAATGATTCCTATCACTAGGAATTTGGGCAAGTATTTGGGCTATCCCATCCACTATTCCAGGCCCAATAAAAAGTCATTCCAATTCTTGATTGATAAGATTTAAGGGAAACTTGCTAGGTGGAAAAACGAGTTGTTATCCTTTGCGGGTCGTGCTACACTCATCAAAGCGGTGAATGCGCCATTCTAGCACATATTATGCAGTGTAATTTCGTCCCTAAGTTGGTGTCTAATACCATAGATAAAATCAACAAGGACTTTTTGTGGGGATCTTATTCGGAGCTTAGGAAAGTTCATGGTGTGGCGTGGGACTCGGTTACCAAACCCAAAAACCTTAGTGGGCTAGGAATTAGGCAAATGAGTTTGATCAATAAAGTCTCGATGGCTAAGTTAGATTGGAGATTGTCGAGTGAGGATAATTCTTTGTGGGATAAAACTCTTAAGATGAAGTATAACAAGACGGAGAGATTTTGCAACAAAGCATCACCAATATAGAGGATGAGTATGCTTAAGGGTACTGACATCCTTGAAAGAGGATCGAAAAATGCTCCTTAAAAATGATAGAAACACTTGGTTTTGGGTAGATGATTAGGCCAAGTGTGGTCCTTTACGGGTTGTATTGAAGGTCCCTTAACTCTTAGTGATTCCTCCCTCTTAGTGCGTGACTGTTGGGTAGACAATGAATGGGATTTTTCCCGCATTTCTTTCATTTTACCCCTGAAATTCTTGCAAATATTAGAAGTATCTCACCCTCTTGGTTCAATTCTGGTGATGATGTTCGTGTTTGGAAACACTCAACCGATGGTAATTTCAAAAGCAATTGTGCTTACTTTATGTCTAAGGATTTCCAAACCTCACTTGCCATTCCCAATTAGAGGTGGGTGTGGGCTATTCCTACTAACACGCATATCTTTCACTTCGTTTGGCGTGTTCTTCATCACCAAAACCTAGCTGTTCCAAAGGTAGATTGTCGATGATAATCTTTGCCCAGTTTGTGAATGCTTTCCCAAAACCTTTGACCACGTCCTTAGAGAATGTCACTCTGATGTTCATTGTTGGTCTTGTAGTGGCATTCCCACTAAGGCCATCCTCTATTTCTCAGTTGATTTTCATTTTTGGTTCAAATTGAATTATCAATCAGGTGAAACCCATCCATCCTCTATAATTTGGGTAACCTTTTTTCCTTATGTGTGTTGGACCATTTGGTTAAATTGTAACTCTATTTGTTTTCAAACCAACTTGACTCCTTTTAGGGCTTCATTGGTGGTGGCTAGATCCTTGGAATGGCAACATATTATCGACATAGGTAAGCTCAATAAAGGCCCAATTAGTTTCCCTATTGGTTGGAAACCCCCTCGCAGTGGAACTTTCAAGCTCAATATTATTAATGGTACAACTAAGGGTAATCTTGGTATAGCCAGTGGGGGTGGTATTATTCGTGACTGGATGGGTTGTTGGGTTGCAGGTTTTGCTCGGAATATAGGCATAGCTTTGGATATAGAGGCTGAGTTTTAGGCCCTCAGAGATGGCTTGAAATTGGCAATGAACTAGGGATTGTCGGAAATTTTTGTAGAGTTAGAAGCAAAAGCCGTGATCAACCTAATTATGCAAGAACCTTCTTTACGACACCATTTTAGTAATCTCATATGTGATTGTAGGTACCTCATGAGGTAGCTCGGGATCACGACGATTGATCATGTTTATCGAGAAGCCAACAAGCGCGCAGACATTCTAGCAAATCAAAGTAGTAATGTCATTAAAGCATTTCATGTTTTTACTTTTGTTTCTTCTTATTTTTCGAATAAATTGTATGATGATGCAAGAGGGGTTTCATACCCTAGAACTTTGCCTTTTTAATATATTTTAGTTCGCTGTTTACCACAAAAAAAAAAAAAGGTTGGGAAAAAAAATACCGTAAGGCATCGGAGTAAGTTAGGGCTCAACTATCCTTGAGTATAAGATTCGGGTAGTGGTGTGACTTTTGAGTATTTTGATCATCTCACATATATTATTTATTTTATAATAGTGGAATCTCTCTCTCTCTCTCTCTCTTTCATAAATGTAGTTCATTTGGACCGAATTACATAAATATGTGTATGATTATTTTTCTCTGTAATATATGTATGGTGTGCTTCTATTTACATTGGTAGAATTTGAAATAAATTCCAATAAATTTTTACAACTTTCGATTGGATTTTATGATCTCTCTTCATTCCAATGATCCTACATAATATTCTCAATTTAAACTACATTCATCAAAATTGAAGTAGTGATTTGATACATGGAAATATATATATCAATCACATTAATACAATATGTTCTTAGGCTTTGTTTGCTTTGGTGATAGGGGTTGTGATTGAACTAAGATGGAGGTAGAGACCACTAAAATAATATTTGTTTGCAGAAATGACCACGGGACTAACCTTCTCCTGGGATTAGAAATACCCCTAGTGAAGGGATTAATTAATTCCATCATAGAATAACAAAACAATCATGAATTCTTGCAAATCCGGTGATCATAAAACAAATATAATTTTTCTTAATACCTCACTATTAATCCCTACACTACCAATCTGTTCACTAATAATTTCTACACTAATAATCCTAACCAACCTAACTCTAAAAATGAATAGGCTCTTAAACCAACTCGTTTATCTTAGAGCATCTCAAACATTTTATTTTGTTTTTTCTATTAAATTTGTTTAATGTGATATAACTCATTCTAATGGTGAGAATTAAATTTTTTTTTATTTTTTTTTTTGTAAATAGTTAATTTATCTCAAAAGCCTCATTTAACAGATTCAGGTAATAATAAAAAATAAAAAATAAAACTTATCTCCAAACTTCCAATTTTTAATAATTTTATCAAACTTCAATAAAAAAAATTATTAAAAATTTAGTAAAAGATTTGATTAATTTCTAATTTGATGAAATTTTAAGGGTAGTTTGGGAAGAGGATTTCTTAGTAGTTTTTTTTTTTTTTTTTTTTAATTTTTATTTTATTTTGGGTGAAATACTAATAAATATTAAAATGTGATTTTGTGAACTGTTTAGTTTTTGTAGGTGCTCAGCCACCAGATCGGAGCTAGGAGCGTGGGTTAGACTCCAGTTTTGTCAAGCCAGCCTATGTGCCTCACTGCGAGGTTCCGAGCCTACCTGTTAAGGCTTAGGGGTCTTTTACAATTCCCCCTTCTGTACTGTTTTACTGTTCTGTATAGACCGAGTGTTACTGTACTGTTATCAAGGGATTAGGTCCCTGTACTGTGTGACTGTAAATTTTGTATAGACTGTACTGTTTGTATATGTATGAATGCATGAAAAATCTTTTTGGCATACAGACTGTCACAGCTCATTGGACATTGTTTAATTACTGTATTGGCTTCCGCCAGGCCCTGTACTCTGTTTCACTGTATTACTGTTAAGCAGGCCTTCGGTAATCTCGGATTACTGGCCGGTTACGGTGCTAAACCCATAGGGTCGGGTTTGGGTCGTGATAATTTTGTTTTAGAGTATTACGTTTGAAAAAAGTACATTAAGAAAATTTTATATATGTTACATTAGAGTGTTATAATAAGGGGTTTTTTTTTGAAATATAAATTGGAATGTTATACTTGAAAAAAGTACACTAAAAAATATTTTTGGAGTGTTACGTTTGAGTATTACATTGGAGTGTCATAATTTGAAATTATACATTCACCCAGAACTTATTAAGGAGTTTTTGTGCTCCTTTTGAAATGTTTGAAGAAACATACATCCTTTTGGAATGTTTTTCAAGTAAAAGAGATTCTCATATAAAAATTTATTCAAATTTGATTCTCGTATCATGTGTCTTACCTTTTTAGCACAAAAGAAAAAAGAAAAAAAAAAAGAAGAAGAAGAAGGAAACATAATAGAAATAAAGATATAAGTATAAATCTAATTTTTAAATAATATATTAAATTTATTTTTTCAAAATTAATGAGACTAATTGATTTATAAAAAATTATTAAGACTAAATGGATTACCATTCTCTAAAATAGAATTTATAGGTAATTTTTTTTTTAACTAAAATATGAGATAAAAAAAATTAAGAATTTTAGACTAATTTTTTAATTGTTTACAAAAACATAATAAAAAAGTAGAAGGAATAAAAATGAATCATGGAGTTTTGATATGAATTGGATTGAATTTTTAAAATAAAATTTTTTTTTTTTGGATTTTAGATTAAAATATCATTTACCCAAAACGTGGCCTATGACTTTGTTGAAAAGAGAATGTCAATTTGTGCAAAATTATGGAAGAACGAAAGATGCTATTAGAATAGCACCAAATAACTTTTGTTTAGAAAGGAAAGGCAAGGAAGGAGACTGTGCCCGTCGAGACTCTGTCCCTGCAAATTCTCTCTCTACCTCTGTACGTCTCTCTTCGCCACTAATCCAATCCCATCCTCTCTCTCTCCCTCTCTTTCTCTCTCTCTCTCTCTCTCTCTCTCTCTCTCTAGATAGAATCAATCACCGAGCAAGCAAAGCGATAGCCATGTACAACAATGCAGAGGAAGAGTCTCCAATCCAGCCCCTCCTCCCTCATCACTACCTCCGTCGATCAGCCTCCAACACCACCTCTCAGCTAGCGATCGTCGGCTCAAACCTCTGCCCCATCGAAAGCCTAGACTACGAGTCACTCTCAAATCTCTCTACATTTATTACATATTGCAATTGAGTAGGCTTCTGATTTGTTTTTTTTTTTTTGAATTGGAAGGATTGTAGAGAACGATTTCTTCAAGCAAGACTGGAGGAGTCGGAGCAAGATCCAAATATGCCAGTACATATTCATGAAGTGGACTCTCTGTTTCGCTATCGGAATCGTTGTCGGTCTCGTCGGTTTCACCAACAATCTCGCCGTCGAGAACGTTGCTGGCTATAAGTTCGTCGTCACTTCCGACATGATGTTGGCTAGAAAGTTCGTAGTACAACTCTCAATTTTTGTTTTATTTATTTTTTCTTGTAATTTGTGGAAACTCACTCTTCTTGGTGTTGTGCAGGTTTCTGGCGGCGTTTCTTGTTTTTACTGCCTCAAATTTTGTTCTCACCTTGTTCTCTAGTATAATGACGGCGTTGATATCGCCGGAGGCTGCTGGTTCGGGTATACCTGAAGTCAAAGCCTACTTGAATGGCGTAGACGCCCCGGGAATATTTTCTCTACGGACTCTGCTTGTTAAGGTAATGTTGAATTCTTTTTTTTTTATTTGGATAGGCAAAAGAAATCTTTATTGATGAACCACATATAAATTACATATGATAGGCAAAACATCAATAAAGAGAAGCTTGGAGCTAGAGAAGCTCCAACCTCCAAGTTGGTGAGAAACCAACAACACAAAACAAAAACAAGAGCAACACCTAACTGACAGATAAACAGATGCAATAGCAACAGATAGAGCCTAGAACAGAAGCAGAACCACAGCAAAAAAAATGAGGCACTACTGTTGCCAGATGCAATAGCAAAAAAAGAAACCAGAAGCAGAACCACAGCAAACCACTTGCAGCTCCTCACAACCATCATGAACAAAAGGGTGAGAATCCTACAGCATATCAGCCAAGTTAACCCTGATTTAGTAGTTACCAATCAATAGCAAAAGCAACAATTCTTAATGGCTGGCATGTCTTGTTTTCAAGGTTTGCCTAGTTTTGTTTGGATAATTGGTATATTCTTGTGGATGACATTGTGTTTGCCCAAAAATCTTTTTTAAATTTGTGTTGGAAGGATGCTTGAGGTGATTTGGGTGACAAGTGATGTGATGACCCGAACCCGCCCTAGAGGTTTGAATCATAACTGGCCAGTAATTATAAGATTAACTATGGCCTCAGACAAAATTCAAATCATATTTAATTATATGAGGTCAGAAGCATAAGCAAAATTATAAAATTTTATCCAATGAACTGTACATACATGATATGAACAAAAGTATTTTATACATTAATAACTCACAGATCATATATATACATATTACAGATATCCACAAACCATTCCGCACAAGTACAGAGCGTCATCTTACAACACTAAAAGTTAAAAGTACAAAACGTGGTCAAACATGACCAACAAAAATAAAAGGGACAAAAGCCTCATATGATAGGCGCTTCAAGGTTGACTTCATGAACTCGGTAATCCTTCACAGGTTCACTAGGGCTAGACATTCCATTGTTCACCTACTTACATATATATATATATATATAATGGAGTGAGTTAAAGCCCAATGAATAACATCTGAGTAAAGAAATTTTATGAATGAGTTCTAATATATATAACGTAATTAACTTCATACTCAAATTTTTGTCGTAAAATGACCTCGGGTCCATCATATGTCAGAGATTCAGAGCGGACAGATCATACTTGGTGGAACGATCTTGAGTCCAATCAATACCATTTGATCAACACATAACAGATATTTACACTTATCATAAATTCAGAACGATCTTGGGTCCATCTTGTCAACTTATACAGAACGACCTTAGGTCCAATTCAGATATGCAAAACGACTTTAGATCCATTATACATATTCGTATCTCATCAATCACATTTACAGATATCATGATGATTGGACAAATAGAAGGATCATTCACATCACAAAATCATAAGTTTGGAAAAACTTACCACATTGGTATCACTTAGAAAATAATGTATACAAAAATATCTTTACTAAGATATTACTAGCGGTGATTTGGTTGATGATGCAACTTCGTGGATGAACCTACACAATTCATAAACACATACATATTGGATCACATTGCTTATTCGAAACGTTCTTTAATTTATTCAATTCTTGTAAGTCTTATTCTAACTCATTAATTCATTTTGGATGCTCAATTCATGTCTAAGAATGCTTGGATGGAAGAGAGAATGCAAATATGGATAGAATGTAACTTTTCAAAACATGCTGAGACAAGGCACTTTGCTTGCAACATTGGTCACTCGAGCGGACCACATGGTCTGCAAAAGTACTGGATGGTCTGAATCCAGGCTCGATAGTCGCTCGAGCCAAGGTGCAAAATATACTGAGGTCACTCGAGCGGTCACTTGGCCGCTCGAGCCATGTGTAATGCTTTGCAAAACTACTGGATGCTGGATAAGTATGCTTGAGCGGCAACTTGTTTGCTTGAGTTGTGAGGCCGAATTCTGGGTTTTCCGGAGTAGAATTTGAACTCCAAAACATATGTTCAAAGTGTGGATTCATGCATGATACATCTCAAACCATGGAAACTCTTCTAAAACATGAGTACAAGGCCAATTCTAAACCCTTAGCTCAAAAACTTCATAATTTTGCAAAATTGAAGCTTAAAGCTTCACGATTGAAACTCAAATTCCCATGCATGGATCATGCAACTTTAAATTTTTTTCCGAAGTTCACAAAACATGAAATTCAACTTCAAAACCTTATGAATTATGAATGCATGTATAATATGATTTCAAATTTCAACATAGATGACATGAATCATGCTCAAAATTATGAAACTTCAAAAAATTATGCATGCATGTATGCCAAGCTTCCAAATTCATCATGTTTCAAGCTATTTCTTGAATTTAATCTTATAATCTTCTTGAATTCACATAATTGATGACTTAAAATTCATGAATTGAGGTTCAAGAGCTTACCTAAGGTCTTCAATTGCACCAATTCTAACTAGTTCTGAAGCCTTTCTTCACAATTCCTCAATCGCTTAGCAAAATCTCCAAGGTCTCTTCTCTCCCTCTCTCTAAAATGAAGTCTCTCTTGCTCTCTTGAAACTTCCAGCAGATTTTCTTGAGCTCAAAATAAGCTAAACTCATCACCTAATATATATAGATAGGCTTGATTAACTTAATACACTAATTAGGGATTAAGCTAATTAATTAGAGCTTAAGGCTTAATCAAACAAAGTTTAATTTAATTGATTTAATCTAATTAATTCAATTTGAATCAAATTTAAATAGGCTCTAAAAATTATGCCATTTTCATTAAATTAATCAATTTTGATTTCTGAAGTCGTTAAGGCCAATTTCGAATCCGAAACAGAAATCATAACAGATATTTCAACAATGAACAAATATGCATACAAAATCACATTATTAAACACATAATTAGCATTCATAATTAAGTAAATATAAGTATAATACGTGATGGGGTTGTCACACCTGACAAATAAATTTTGCTCATATTCAGAATCAAATCAATGATTGGAAGGAGTAGGCTTACACTGTGTAGTAAGGACTTTGTGCTTTGTCTTGCTTTGAAGCTTTTGTTATAAGGGATGTTTCACTTAATAGAAGACGAAGTAGAAATGGGAAATTGCAATAAGGGAAACATTAACCAGGTTATTGGCTAGAGCAACTCAAACACTAATAGTCATTTTGCCTAAAACAAAAATACATTTGTATTTCACCTAACCTAACCACTTTGCCTAGGAGAGGATGAGGCAAACTGCTTACCGTATTACCTACTCTATTGGAGTTCCATTTGTTAGCATAGCATATTATATTATTATCTGAGTTATTAGTTTGTAATTGTTCTATGCCCTCAGGGCTCATCTTGTAATTGTCTCATCTTGTAAACCCTAATCTTCATTTATAAATAGGGGATGATATCATATCAAACCCTAAGCTAGTTACTCAAGCTTCATGGTATTAGAGCAGAACCTCTAGGGTTTCGGCACACCCTCACTCTAGGGTTCGAAACTTACCTAGGTGGATCATCTGCTGGGTCGATCTTCAGCTCGTCGCTCTCTGCTTCGTCTTCATCCTCAGTCGCCGTCGTCACTCAGCCGTCTCTCAGTCGATCGTCACTCAGCCACCTTCCTGTCGCCTTCGTCACTCAGCCGTCCTCCGCTCGTCAATCTCCTCCAGCAGTTCGTCGATCTTCTTCTCTGCTCGTCAGTTCGTCGCTCGTCTTCTCCTCTGTCGCCTTCGTCGACCGTCGATCTCACTGGTATACTCTCACTCTCATCCCTGTTTGGTATGATATAACCTATGTCGTGTATAACACCGTACCAATACATATATAAATATATATATATATATATATATAAAAGAAAAAAAAAGAGAAAAAAAAAAACTCACAAAAAAAAAAGAAGAAAAAGAAAAAAAAGAAAAAGAAAATGGTTTCTTAATTTTGTTATGCCTTTATAGTGGTCGTTGTGCCTGTTCTTTCATCATCACCTTTCGGGTTTGTGATTGCCACTAGTTTTGTTGCAGTTCGGTAGTATAGTATCCATGACGGATTCCACCAGTGTGTCCCCTTCTTCTCAAACACCGAGGAGTGAGAATCCCATTATACCTACTACCATGACTGAGAACCCCAACCCCAGTCTGAAAATCACCACCTCTCTATTTAATGGTCAAAACTATCTAGCATGGTCTCAAAGTTTGACTATGTTTTTGAAGAGCAGAGGGAAGATGGGGTATGTTGATGGCAGGATACAAGCACCTAGTACCACTAACTCGGGTTATGACCAATGGGAGATTACCAACTCTTTGATTATGGGTTGGCTTATCCATTCGATGGTTCCAGAACTTGGTGAGGGCTACTTGTCTATGGAGACTGTTAAAACCTATCACCTACTTCACCCACTTAAACCTACTCCACTAAACCTAACCCACTACACCACTACCACCTCACCTACTCCACTAAACCTAACCCACTACACCACTACCACCTCCACTTCACCTACTCCTTACCTACTACACACTCACCCTCTTCTATATATAGGAATCATGCATCATTGTAATAAATATAACATCAAGATCAATCAATAATACAATCATTTCTCTTTATACATTAAATTTCTACATGGTATCAGAGCCATAAGATTTAGGCCCGTATTTTGTTTTCTCACCGGCGGGCAGCCGGCCGGCAACCTTGCCTTGGCTGCCCGCTGGAATTTTGTACACATACCTTCACTTTCCTGCCTCTTCCAACTTTCTTACAACTGTTGTCCCATAGATGGGCTTCATATCTACCAGTCCATCTATGCCTTGTGACACCTCTATACTGTGAAGTCCTCTGTCCAAATGCATCAATGGACTTCCTATGGACAACCTGCTTCTGATCAAGCTTCTCAGACCCTCTTTTCTTCCCCTCCTTGAAAGGTGTTTGGTACACCTCATGGCCTCTAAATGCATAGTAATCTGAGTATTGCTGGGCTAATAACGAAGGCCTCTCGAGCAACTGAGATGGGGCTTCATATTCCCT